CCCCCCCCCCCCCCCACCCACACACCAAAAAAAAACAAAAAAAGTGGAAGCATACAAAAGCATAATAGAAAATGGTACAAGACTTACTATGCATTCGGTCTTACACAAATCAAATAAAGAAAAGACATGTTTGTATATAATTATTTATCACTTAAAAGCATAATTAAGTGATATGTTTTGTTACTTTAAAAGATTGAATTTCTTAATTTAGTATTATTACGTGTGTGAATAAGTTTTCCAAAAAAGAAAATGCTGCCCCAAAAAAGAAACCTATCAGACAATTTTCGTTCCAATTTGGTTAAGCTGTTATGGCAGTGCTTAGGGATAAAAGGGAAAAGGAACAGAAAGGCAGGAGTTATAAGTTCTATACCTGTTTACCGGACAGGCTGGTCCGGGCTGGACACGACAAAAAATAGCCCGTTCGGTTAGTGGTTCGAGCTGGATAGTGGGCTGACTAACCGGGCTGCTAACGGGGTGAGAAATTCCGGGTTAATTAGGGCTTGTTTGGGTTCGAGCTTAGCGGATCCGGACTGGGCCGGGTTATTATTTTATTTTTTTAGTATATTATATTTTTCTTATTCAATGTTATTGATACTTAAGTATTTGCAAACTTTTAATTAAAGAAATAAGTATTTTAAGGCTTAGAATTAAACTTAAAAACTTTAAAGTTTAAAGTTTTAAATTTGAAATTTGAATTTTAAAATTTTAAAACTGGAAGTAAGTGGCTACAAAAAATTATTTAAAAAGACCAATATATAAGGATCAAACTCCGAAGGCTTTCGTTTTATATTTCATTGAATAATAAATAATACTTCAAATTAATTCGCAAGTTCTATTTTGATTTTTATTTTATTTTTGAACTTGCAAATTAAAAGTTTACTACAATTATAAAAAATAAGAAAGAGTACATGACATGCTTTGCATCATTTTTGTAAGTTCATCCATGTCAACATGAGGTTCTTGGTTTCCGGCATGGTTTGGATCGGAACCATAAACCATTATATCTCCAATTTCTTGGTCCTCCATTTCATCTACCTCGTCACACCCTTGATTTCGCCATTCTAATCTTATCCAATCTCTGAAGCACGCTAGAACTTCCAAAGCGTTGCTACCCAATTAATAACGGGTATCTCCTTGCTACTGCCTTGCTTGGATAAATGCGCTCTCTGATACGACTGTTGAAATCGGCACATTTAACACGTCTCGAGCTATGGCCTAAAGAACAGAAAATTGATTTGAGTTGCTCCTCCACCAACTCAGCGGTAGAAATTCCTTTGTGCGGGTCTCTGGTGACTTTTGCAAGTAGAATCGGAGTTTATCAATATTCCTGCTACTAGTTTGTTGATGCTCTCTTATAGCATGTTCGGCCAAGCTTCTTTTTGGCCAAAAGTGCTTTTTTTTGGCCAAAATCACTTTTGGCCAAAAATTGAGGTGTTTGGCCAAGCTTTTGGAAGGAAAAAAAGTGCTTTTGAGGAGAAGCAGAAGCAGTTTTGGAGAACCAGAAAAAGTAGCTTCTCTCCAAAAGTACTTTTTTTTGAGAAGCACTTTTGAGAAAAATACACTTAGAAGCAGTTTTTTAAAGCTTGGCCAAACACTAATTGCTGCTCAGAAGTGCTTTTCAAACTAATTAGCCAAACACAAACTGCTTCTCACTAAAAGTACTTTTGAGAAAAGCACTTTTGGAAAAAAGCACATCTCAAAATAAACTGATTTTTGCAACTTGGCCAAACAGGCTATTAGTATAGACCAAATTAAATATCTTCAACACCATCATTATTCTCCAAAGTACCAGATGCTGATGTTGAAACTAAACTTGAAGGAATATTTGCATCTACAACAGCAGAAGCATCACCAATGTTAGCATAATAATTATATAAAATTTGTAAATGTTTGTGTAGATCAGAAATACAAGTTTCAACATCAGGGGTTTCAGTTGGTCCAATATCCATATAAACATATAAAGCAGTGATTAATTGGCGACAAGTGACCATTTTGATAGGAGGGTTTAAAATAGCACCAATTAGGTAAATAGGGGAAATTGGATAAAAAAAATTCTTAAATTTATCTAGCATAGACTCAACAACATAACTATATCGTTCATTCTTCTTCAAATAATGGAGTAAAAGAGAAATTTCAGCACTATAAACTAAATCATTTGTAATAGTAGGATAATAAGCTCCAGAAACTCAAGTGTAGCTACATAAAATTTTTGCAAAATTTTTGCAACATCTTCAATGACATCCCAAGTTCTAGATGTTAACAAACGGTTAGGATTGGTACAATGACAATTAGAAACTTCAGTTATAGGCATTTTATATTTATAACAACATCTTAAGAATAAATAAGTATAATTTCACCTACTAACTATTTCTTCAGGCATGAGTCTTGATTTTAATCCATATTGTACATATTTATCCTTAAATGCATTTAATCTAGCACTTCTATTATTTTCTTGAATTACACCAACAGCTCTTCTAACTAAAGTGATCTCATTTCTAAATAATTCAAGGTCACTCTTAACAATTAAATTATAAATATGACATGTACGCCTCACATGAAATATTTCAGAAAGTGGTAGGTGTAGATGTAATTTTAATAGTGTAATAGCAGAATTATGGGGGAGGCTATTTTCTTAAAGGGGGTACGCCGAAATGACCAAAAATACAAAAAATGGCCATTGTCCAACGGTCGTATTTAAATTTGATCGTTGGCAACGATCAAAAAATAAAATAAAATTGTCTAATGATAATCGGGCTAGATCAGGTTGTAGCTCGATAAAAATCCGGTAGTGGGTAATTGGGCTAACCGGGTTCCGGGGCACCGGTTACCAAAATAGCCCCACCCCCGTCCGGCTCCACCCCTAACCCTGCCAAACCCGTCCCACCCCAGCGAACCGGGCTAACCCGGACTGAACCGGGTCAAGCAGGGTTGGCCCGGCCCGTTTAACAGGTTTAGTTATAACTGACTTATTTCACACTATACCATAACCATCCTTTAGTTTAGTGCATTTCTTGTAGATCCATTCTGAGTAGCGTTTCTCTAAATTAATGATGTGTTCTTTTGAAGAGAGTTTCTTTTTCTTTTTCTTTCTCCCCTTTGAAAAAGAGTTATACAAATTAACTTCATTATTGTACCCAATAACCTACTACTTGCTTCTATGTTCAACCATTGTCCTAAGTAGGGCTCACATGTATTGCATGTGACTTTTAGTGAATAGTTTAAAAGGCAGTAATTGAGAAGGAGATAAAACAATGAAGCAGCCAAAAAAACCTTTCTGACATTGTTGCTTGCTGCCGAGCTCTTAGCAAATACTTCTGTGGAATTGGCCAACATTATAGTTATTAAAACTACTCCCTTCCATCCACAATAAGCGATCAATTATCTTTAATTGAAATTTATATATTATTAACTTGACACATTAGGATATGCATGTAAATAAGAGTAAATTTTAAAAGCTAAAGTTAATTCGTTCTTAATTATGTAAAAAGGATATTTATTTTAAATCAACGTGATAAAGCTAAAAGGTCATTTATTACGGACCGTAAAAAATGTTGTCCATTAATTTTGTGCGGGATCAATTCTCACTGTCATCCTACCTAATCCCACTAGTATACGCACCCGCGCGATGCGCGGATTGTTTCAAAAAAAAAATAATATAGTAGAAACATGTCTTTATTGTAGACTAAATTTAGTGATCACATTCAAAAGAATTAAATCAAAAACATATATATAATAAATTTCATAGGATTGTGTCTATGCTAGGACCACCAATATTTATGCATAAAAACAGGATTAGTAGAGAAGGTTGGTAACTGTAATAAACCAAAAGCTAAAGTAGATTTTTCAAAATTCACTTCCAGTTCATATACACATCATCCGTAGTTGCAGGGAAAGTAAAATAATGATACAAAATCTCAACCAATAATCAAACATATATTCATAGTAGATATAAAATAACCGAGAGTTTTGTTATAGTCAATTTGGATAAACACCAAATCCAAGAGAACATACGTCCGATATTACAGCATTTTTAACTAAATTAGCAATTATGTGTAAATTTGGATAGCTTCGCTGTTACAACATACCGGAGTAATGCTACAGAAGTACTTGGCTTAAAAAAGGATTAGTCCACCTGAAAAAGCAGAAATTTGTCTCAAGTTATTATCAGAAAAAATAAAGAACAGTTATACATGTGTAATTCACAATAATTAAGACATCACCTCTTGTTGTGGTATACTTTGGATCAAAAGTATATGAGAACATGAGCAAGTCAGTCATGTTGTTGATGATATAAATGATGACTCACATGGATAACTAAGATCTTGGAAATACCCAATTCTTGTTAGCATAATCTATATAGCAGTTTTAAGTCTTAGATGAAATGCATACATTAAAAATATTAATTGTCATCAAGATTTTATGTCACTTACAGACATAACAGTAATGTTGTTGCAACCGAAAATACCTTCATCAGAAGCTACATGTTCCTTTACAGCTGAGGCAAAATTCTCTGTTGCATACGTAAGGTAACTTTTCTTACCTGTAGAAACAAATGTATGTTGCAGACTATTAGATGAAATACAATAAGTATAACATTTGGTATTCTTAGTGAAACAAAAGAATGTGAAATGTTAGAAGATTTTACGAACAATATGTTTTCTTTATTGCTCCAGGTGAATCCACCCTCAACTACACATACATAGTTGTATAAAAAGATGGCAACACTTAGTACAGCCATTCTAAAACGGCTAACACTGTTGAAAGTCCGCCAGCACGAACAACTATCTACATCTCGATTAAATTTATACAACAAAGATATTTCTTTGAGCTACAAAAATTTAAAAAAAAAAATACATTTATCAGCCTTTCGGCTTTGATCAAGTGAAGAAGATGGGGTTTCTAACCTTCTCACGGTCCCAGATATTCAGGATACCATCTTCTGCAGAACTTCCAAAGACTGATGATTTATCTGGGGACCACTGGAACAAAATTTTTTTATCAAACACCATAGGTTACCTTATCAACATAAATAAGGGTGGACAACAAAAGCAAGCAACCATGTCAGTTACTCTCAGACATGTACACAAAGCACAACAGCAGCAGTATGGCCCTCAAAGATATGAATAGGCAATCCCACTCCCCAAAAGTGAGGTTTCATCATTAAAACATGCGAATAGTGTTGTCTGCTGACTTGAAGGAGGCATAGCTATAAAGTATTGCACTTATCATTACAACTAAATAATTAAAGTATAAACAAAAAGTAATTAAACAAAAAGCTTATTGCATCAATAGTCATATTTTTCAAAATTATTTAAAGCTTCAAAGTATTGCACTTATCATTACAACGAAATACTATTGCACTTAGCTTAAGCTTTTGGCTTAGCAAAATTAATGTAATTTATCTATAACATACAACATGTAGTTGTGCTTTCTTGGGCAATTTTTATGGATACAGAGAAAAAATTTGGCAAAAAAAAAAAAACTTACACCATTTGCTCTGATCTCTGTCCTCTTTCAGAGTTTTTATAGCCATGAGAAATTCCATTTTCTTTTTCACTTTGATAGCTCATTTTATTGCTTATTTGCAATTTTAGCTTCATGTTGGTGCTCCCGTTGGTAAGATCCAATATTCTCATTAGCTTTTGTGTCAAATACTGCGTCTCGCACAAGGTGTCGCACTAAATGACAGAAAGTTCTGATCTTCACACTCCATGTCGGACCAAAGTAGCCAAAGTTACAGCTCAATATTGCACACAAATTTCGCATCATTTGGTTCCCTTTGCAGCACATTGACACAAAAACCTGAGCTGCATGAGTTTATAATTTTTTTTTGTATGCTTTAGTCACGTAGATACTAATTCTATCATATTATAAAAGGGGAGTTTCTACAATGCATCACAAAAATTTTCACTTAGAGGAAGAAGATTACATTTCTTACTATATGGATCATAGAATAATTTAATGCAAGAAAAAAAAAATTAAACTCTACGAACACCAAAATATCTGAATTTATGAGTTAGCGCAGACTTTATATCTTCCAAATATGCATTATGACAGACCATATTTAGGTGCTGACTAAGTGAAGATGGCAATATAGTTATAACTTTAGAAATTGATTGTGAATTTGTGATGGAACTTAAACTCTAAGATTTTAAAGTTCCATCGGATCCTAAAAGAAACAATAAAGATTACTATACATGAGCAGTTTCTCGACACACTTCTTCTTTCTAACTTTTGATCGTTGACAATATCTTCTGTTGCAGGCCATTATCTGATGTTTCTAGTGATCTTACAGTAGAAGTCGGAATAGCTAATTTTGCTCTTCACAATGTACACAGATGTAGTATTAGATGTTTCTTCTTCTCATTTAATTTGATCTACTAATATCTTCATAAGCATTGGATTGCCCAAGTCTACCAAAAAAGTAGAAGTTGTGCGAGAAATGGGTAGGCATAGGCAAACGTATTTGAAATGTGCATAGTCAAGCAACAGAAAAATAGAATGATATATTTCTGAAAATTGGAAACTCCAATCAGAAAAGATAAGAAAATGTTAAAAATTAAAACTACTCTCAATTATTTACTGGTAAAATTTACTTTTAAGCAACAATTCAAGTTGGCTTAGATGCAAGAATAGAGGAGATTATGAGGTTCTATTCAATGCTTACTTGTTCTAATACAAGTGAATTGTAAAGCTTCTGATCTAAAGCCTTGGAATTCCATTCTATACCAAATTCTAATGCTCTGTCTTGCATCAGAACAATCTCAATCGAAAAAGGGTTGTCAGGCTTGTCGCGATTCAGATTCTTCCAAAGCCTAACAATACGAACCTTTAACTTCCAATTCATTGGCGTGCTGTTAATTTCACTAACGAAATTAATTTCATCCGCCATTATATCCTGAAATAGACAGAAGTATTTGTAAATATAAGTAGAAACTAAAACTTCACGGAAATTATCTGTTAAAGGAATACAAAATAAAGATCATGAAACACAAATCATACCAATCACCTCTTGTAATCTACAATTGCTGTTTGATATGCACACGATGGAGAAAGAACAGAAACTATATACTGTAAAAGTAGAACTCATTTGATAAAAATGTGAAATCATGTTATTGGAATCCAGGGCAAAAGAGTTCGTGGATAAGGAGTTGATATCGTGGTGAGACATCGTGGGATTGAGGTGCCGGATTTGGAGGATGAAATTTTTAGGGCAAATAGGTGAAAATGGCGTTCCCGATTGCCGTTCTTCAAGGTTTCAAAATGTATCTATATACCTATTTATTAGGAACGGCGTTTTCTTAAAATAAACGTAAAAACTACTTCTTTTTTTTTAAATATAAAATAACGTAGAAACTACTTCTTCTTTTTTAAATATAGAATACCTAATTAATTATTTTCAAATTCAAAATTTAAAAAGAAAAATTAATTTTACCTAAAATAACTAATTTGTCCGAAAATTGCTACATTGCATTTTATATGTGGAACACTTGGCAAATTTTTAGGGCTGACTTTTTTCCTTTTAAGTAAATATAGATAATGTAAGTAGAATTTTCTGAAAAGCAAAACTATCAGTTATTTATAGAAAATAAATGAGGGCATTTTCTTTTATTATTCACAATCTTTCTATCCGAGCTTATAATGCAACTTTTTACGGTTTTTTTTCTTTCTTTTTTAGGTAGCAAAAGAACGTAAAAAAAGCGACCACATGCCATTTTACAGCCTCTGACTTTGAAAAATAACTAGTAATACTTTGGAATTTCAAGTTTCAAAGTAAAATTGCACGACATTGAAATTCCAGGACAATGGCGGTGAAGAATTAACCTAAATAGCAGTTCACTCAATTACTTAAACTAAGAATGCCGATGAATGTGTAATATATGTACAGTACGTGTATAACTATGCATAATCAGTATATAATTTCTATATAATGGCTAAAAAAAGTAAATAATAAAACTGAACGGCTACTTTTATAATTACGAAAATGGCTTTTCTGAATTTTACCCCGAAAGGAATTAGGTAACGGAACATTTAGGCTTTAGCCCATTATAGCACAGTCCATTTAGCCCCTCTCTGGTCCATTCTTCCCAATCAGCCCACTCCAGCTAACCCAAATGCCAATAATAATTCTGTATTTTTAGTCGCATCCAAAAATAATAATCGATAAAAATGGGTGTGTATGTGTATAGGGTAAAGTACGCTATGCCACGTGGCCGTCCAAAAAGGGAACACGTGGAACCTAAGAGAGGGGGATGTCCAATACCGAAGGCAACTGTTCCGTCTGTCACCGGGAAGAATAACGCTCATAAAGATGTCATAAATACTCCTCGGCCGGTAGCATTTAATAGGAAATATTCCATGGCATTAAATACGATTTCCCGTTACCAGGAATTTGGCATTTATGCTTACCGTTATATCTTCATCAATGACCCTCATAATTGACATTAAAGAGGGATACGATCCCAGGAACTCCTTCCCTAGACATAGCTATAAATAGTGAGCTCATTTATCATTGTAAGGAGGAGGAATTCTCTAAAGCACTTATACTATATTCTATCCAAAGCTTAATACAATTTTATTCTCTTGCTTTTTTTGTTTCATTATTGTTGTGCCCGGAACCCCTGTGTTTCTGTTATTTCTTCTCCATCTCAAGGCTAAGTACTACATATTTCTTCAATTATTTTATTATTTCATGATCAAATTAATTCACTTGTCTAGAAACCACGTATAAATTTAATTGTACCATTTTACGGGTAAACAGTTTGGCGCCCACCGTGAGACCTAAACAGCCGTGCAATTAAATTGGTCCGTGCTTTTTTTACTAACGTGTTTTGATTATCTTGTTTTAGAGAAAAAATCATAAGAAATGGCAGATAACGCGCACAATCCCGAGATTCGAGGGGATCAACCTCATTTTGAGGACTCAATCAGTGACACCCACGACGAGGGAAACGATGCCACACCGGTGTATGACAGGCAATACCTTCGACATGTTCGGGAGACGACACATGATAATGTTGAGGAGGAACATGTCATTGACGCGGTAAGGGTCTTGCAAGAGCAACAGGTGATCATTCTAGGTCACCTCACGCAACAGGATAAAGTTATGACGGTGTTGAAGCACGCACTGTCGAGGGCTTCAAACAATGCGCATAGACGAGATCTGGTTCCTCCCGGCGCTCCTGCGAATCAAACAACGTCGAGGGTCGACAACAACACCCCGAGGGGCGAAGTTGGTTCCGATGGGGCTGGGGGGAGCAGATCCGGTCCCAATAACGAAAATGACCCCTTTAAAAATGAACTCCTACGGTTTATGAGGGAAGTAAATGCCCACATGGACCAAATTTCGAGTGCACCACCTGTGATGGAAGGACCGGACTCAAAGAAATATACTCAGTTACCAAACGAACCGAGCGCAGCACCAGAACTAATTCCAAAGCCGTTTAAAATGCCCAACGTGCCAAAGTACGATGGAACTTCAGACCTTCAGGAGCATATTACCACCTATACAACGGCAGTGAAGGGAAATGATTTAGCTCCTCGTGAAATTGAATCTGTTTTGCTGAAAAAATTTGGAGAGACTCTCGAGAGAGGAGCCTTGATGTGGTATTCGTTGTTACCCGAGCATTCCATAGAATCCTTTGAGATGCTCGCGAATTCTTTCATCAAGGCTCATGCCGGTGCCAGAAAAGTACAGGCCCGAAAGGCCGACATATTCAGGATTGCGCAAGGAGAATCCGAGTTGCTTCGGGAGTTCGTTACCCGATTCCAGAAGGAGAGAATGTTGCTCCTGGTTGTCCCTGATGAGTGGGCAACTGAAGCATTCACCAAGGGATTCAATTCGAGAAGTACAGATGCTTCCCGGAAACTGAAGGAAAGCCTACTGGAGTTTCAAGCAACGACTTAGGCAGATGTCCACAACCGGTACGAATCAAAGATAAGGATCGAAGATGATCAAGTTGGCTTTCCATCGTCGACCAAAGGACGAGAGAAGAACAAAGAAAAATGAAAAGACAATTTTGACTCGGACAGACGACCTTTGAGGGGCCGGTTTTTGCCCTACGAATGAACCGAATGCCGCGGCAGAGGCTTTCGAACAACGGGCAGGTTTGCCATCGACAGAAGGACTGATTGCAGAAGGAACAATAAATCACTACAGGATAAAGAAGCATTACGGTCACGGGATCCCTCATACCCCAAGCTATCGGAATACAATTTCAACGTCAGCTTAGTAGATTTAGTGTCAGCCATGAAAAACATCAAATAAGCACAGTTCCTGAAACCAATGAGATCTGATCCCAGCCAAAGAGATCCCAACTTGTGGTGTGAATACCACGGGACAAATGGCCACCGGACTGGGGACTGTCGACATCTCTGGGAAGAAGTGGCAACACTGTTGAAGAATGGTCATCTCAAAGAGTTCTTAAGTGACCGAGCTAAGAACAATTATGGTCGTAACTGGGATAATAATGTGGAATCCTCAATCTGGAATCCTCAAAGGCAGAAGATGATCCCCCCCCGCCAAACGATCAACATGATCTTCAGAGGGAATGAAATCAACGGAGTCACCTTCTCAGCAGCAAAAAAGACGAAAGTATCAATAACCCATAGCAAGAGGCTCCGGGAAGTAGCCGAAGACGATATCACTTTCACAAAGGAGGACGCAGATGGATTGCTACTATCACACAACGACGCATTGGTAATTTCTTTAAATGTGCTAGATTTTAAAATTAAACGTGTTCTAGTGGATCCAGTAAGTTCGGCTAATATCATACAATGAAGAGTATTGGAGCAAGCTAAAATCACTGGAAATATTATTTCGGCCACAAAACTCCTCGCCAGATTCAACCTCGCGAGCGTGACAATCAGAGGAGAAATTTTGCTTCCCACAAACGCTGAAGGGGTAATGAAAACAACTCTTTTCGAAGTGGTAGACGGTGATATGGGATATAACATTATTCTAGGAAGACCATGGTTGCACGAGATAAAAGCTTTACCATCAACATACCATCAATTGTTGAAGTTTCCAACGCCCGAGGGGGTTAAACAGATAAGGGGTGACCAACCGGCAGCGAGGGAGATGAACGCTATTGATACCCAATTTTTCCCTATATATTTTAAATATGCATAAATACCTTCAAAATAGCATATACATGCATATATAAGCATGCACAAGGTTTTATAATTTTTTCCATAATTTTAGGGATTTAAATTGATTTATTTCCTTCCCTTTTATTCATAAAATCCCCAATAATTATTCTCCAAATTATTGTTATGGTGATTTAGTCATTTAATTCTTATCTAGGCCAAAATATGGATAAAATATCTTTATGCAGTTTTTTATAATTGCATTTGGTATTTTTTAAACTAAATTGCATATAATTACAATATTAGCCCATTTAATGTATAACTACCTTTATATGCGTAAAATTGATCTCCTATATTTTTAAAATGTTAAATATCTATTTTAAATCATTTTAGTACACAAAATTATTTTCCAAAATTATTTATTCTTTATTATAAATTATATAGGGGAAAAGTGGCTATTTAAAATATAGCCAGATTTGATTTCAATTGTAGCCCAATTTAAACCCAACCCCAACCCAATTTCAGATTAAAAACACCCGACCCAAGCCCTAAGCCCGCCTACCCAACCCAAGACCCGTTAAATCCTGGCCGTTGATCTAAAAGATCAACGGCCCTCATGAGTTCTTTCCTTTTTTATCCTAAACAGCCCCCTAACCCTATCTCATTTCTCAAATCCGCCGCCTCTATATTCTCTCATCTCTTCTCCTCTCTCAACCCCTCAACCTAACCCTATTTCCTTCAACCGCCGCCTCCCTTCTCCGGTCTTCTCCGGTGACCACCTTCCAAACCCCTAAGCCTCCAATGGTTCCTCTATTGCCATGCTCACCTTCTCTGAGGTCTTCAAGAGCCCTGGGCCACGCTAACTTGCATCTAGTTTGCCATCTGGTCTGTTCTTGGNTATCTCATTTCTCAAATCCGCCGCCTCTATATTCTCTCATCTCTTCTCCTCTCTCAACCCCTCAACCTAACCCTATTTCCTTCAACCGCCGCCTCCCTTCTCCGGTGACCACCCTCCAACCCCTAAGCGTCCAATGGCTCCTCTATTGCCATGCTCACCTTCTCTGAGGTCTTCAAGGGCCCTGGGCCACGCTAACTTGCGTCTAGGGTTT